CGATCCTGAATGAAGCCTGGAAAGTCATCACCAAAGTCCGCAGTCCTCAGGTTCTGAACCGCTGACAGTAGTTTTCAAAAGGTCCTGTTATTCCTGCCAGAATGTTCCAGATTGTTACTGAAAATCTCATTTTGGTTTACAGGACTACATCAACTGTGCTGAAATCTGGGTGGAGTTTACCTGCAGACACTTTACAGTGAGTAGAAAGCAGTCAAGTTATTTATTTATGTTTTGGAAATGCACTACCTTTCTTAATCCTCTCTCTGCGTGACTGTCAGAAACGGGAGGTCAACACGATTTTGGCTGACATCATCAAACACATGACCCCTGACCGAGCATTCGAGGACGCCTACCCTCAGGTTGGTGCACGATGCTTCCCTGAATCTCGGCTACTCTCCATCCTCCTCTTTCCTTCTGCTCTGTACTAACGGTCTCGTGTCTGTTCTGCGTGTAGCTGCAGTCGGTGATCAGGAAGATCCTCACCTACTTCCACGACTTCTCTGTCCTCTTCTCCATGGTGAGCTTCTACAGCTTGAGCTGCAACGATGAAACTGTGATTCCAGTGCCATAAGTCGAGCTACATTTTCAGTTATTGCTCTTTTCGGTTCTTCAGGAGCGATTCCTGCCGTTCCTGGACATGTTCCAGAAGGACAGCGTGAGGGTGGAGGTCTGCAAATCCATCATGGAGGTCTTCATCAAGTAAGAGTTCATTAAAGTTAAAAAAATTATTGAGAGTTGTGGCAGAAACGTTGATGTTTTGTATTGATGTTCTACTTTGTTCTCTGGCCTTTAGACACCAGGTGGAGCTCACCAGAGACCCGGTGATCCTCAATGCCATGCTGCACATCTGCAAGACCATGCACGACTCTGTCAAGTAGGGTATTCGTTTGTGTGTGTTATACAGACGTATGCTACTTTTATATCTGTGACTTAAAGTCGTCGTTTCAGCTGTGTTCATGCGGTAACGCATTTATTTTTCTCTTTGTCTTGAAGTGCTCTTACTCTCGAAGACGAGAAAAGATCTTTGGCTCTGCTGATCATCGGCTTCATCCGCATGGTGAGATTATCACATCTATTATATTATGTCAACAACTATCACAACGGATGTTTCGGCCTCTTGTATTGCATTGTTTTGATCTGCATCTGTTGTTTTTGTTTCAATTTTGGGTGTTTTTTTTTTTCTCTGCACTTCAGGTTTCCTTTGGTCGTGACTTTGAGCAGCAGTTGAGTTTCTGTGTGGAGGCTAGAGCCACCTTCTGTAACCTGGAGCCTGTCCTGGTGCAACTCATTCATGTAAGCCTGTGTTTGTGTTTGGCGTTTCAGCATTAAGTGACAGAAGCCACAACGCCATCTCCTTCATGTAACCTTGTCGTTTACAGACGGTGAACCAGCTGGCCATGGAGACCAGGAGGGTGATGAGAGGGAATCACTCCCGCAAGACCGCTGCTTTCGTCAGAGTGAGTCCACACATGCAGTCTCTAATCATTTCACATCACCGTACGTTCCTCTTGGATGACTTTTTAGCAATGCCAAAGGAAAAGTCAAAAAACCACAGACTGTATATAAAAGACAGACCCATTATAAAGTAACTCATGGTTTTCTGGGCTCTGCATTTCTAAGCTTCAACATTAGCATTTTGGCTAATGCTAATTTATCCCCTAATGCTAGCAAGCTTTTTTTATAGGCCTTTCTTACAGAAATAACATTGCATGAAATTTTCCTCTCCCCCTCTCTCTCTTTTAGGCATGTGCCGCCTACAGTTTCATCACCATCCCGTCCCTCAGCAGCATCTTCAGTCGACTCAGCCTCTACCTGCTGTCCGGTCAGGTTGCTTTGGCCAATCAGTGTCTGTCCCAGGGTGAGTAGCTGTCTCATTCGAGATTTAAGTTTAAGATTTAGTCGATCAAAACTTGTGTCCCTAATGTTTTTACTATATTGTGATCATTTCTCTTTCTCTTGTCCTTCCCACGCCTTTTCGTACTCGTTCTCCACCTTCCTTCTTCCAGCCGATGCTTTCCTAAAGGCAGCCGTAAGCATTCTTCCGGAGGTTCCTCGCTCCATCAGCGTGGAGGGAAAACTTCGCTCTTCTGAAAACTTCCTCGTGGACTTTATCAACAGCTTCTTGGCAACGCTGCTGGTTATCCCGGTAAGGTTCATTACGGTTCAGAGGTGGGTTTACAGGAGACGGACCACACCTGTAATCGCCCATTTTTGTCTCAGTACAGCTTGACAAATGTTTTGATTTTTGTTGTTGTTGTTTTTTAACAGGACCATCCAGAGCATGGGGTGCTCTACTTAGTCCGGGGTCTGCTCAACATGGTCCAGGATTATACCTGGGAAGACAACAGCGATGCAAAGGTGCGGGTTTACATCAGTGCTCTCCCCCTGCTGGCAGCCATGAGCCAGGAAACCTATCTGTACTCTATCCCCAAAGGTAACGGCACACACATAAACACTGAATTTACATCAGAGACCGCTAACAAAGACAGGCTCCTCTTTTACAGATTTCCCCAGGCTAATTTCTGTAAGCCCTAAAAGTTAAGAGTTTCACGCGTTGAGCTTTTACTTGTGAGGTTTCCTGTTCTTGTCACATGTACAGTTGAGGACAGTGCTGTTTTCAACAAGTCTCTCACACGTCTCCAGAGGGATTCCAGTCCATTCTTTTTTAAGGAATCTCTCAAGCTCTTCCAGATTTGATGGTCTTCTGGCACAAATGTCGGTCTTCAGTTCACTCCACAGATTTTCAGTGGGGTTCAGGTCGGGGCTTTGTGCAGTAACATTCACCTTGGTCTTCTCGAGGTGGTTCTTCAGCAGTAGCAACATATGCTTTGGACGACGACCCAGACCCAGTTTTGCTGCTGACTGTATCCTTCTCTCTTCATGATTCCCAGTTCCAGATGCATCTCCACAGCAGGTCCTCCTTACTGCACTTAAGTCTGGCTTGAACATGTGTCTTCGGTACAAGTGGAGTTTTTCTCCAGTGCATTCCTCAGCAGCGTTCTAGTGATTGTCAACTTCAAGATTTAAATTCCCGTCCTAGCTAAGTCATTCACTCGTGACTCAGCTGTTGTTCTGCAGTCTTTAGACACAATTACTTCCACCACTCCCCTCCTTTTGGATGGCGGTCCCTAAGACATCATCCACTGTCCTTGGCTATCGAATCCCTTCATCTCCATCCCTATGCTTACATGGTAATATTACAGAATTTAACAAAATGGGAAATATAGGAACCCACTCTTTATCTCTCTATTGCCAAGAAAGCTATATTTTGAAATTGGAAATCCAAAAGATCACTACTCCTGAACCACTGCATCAGTCTTATTACAGAATACGTGACTTTAGAGAGAATAATGTATTACCACAGAAATAATATATCTTCATTTAATGACATCTGCTACATGCTTCTGACTTATCTCAGTTTGGATCAGACGCCAGGGGCTGAAACCAAGCACATCTCCACAAACTTACAACTTACTGTTGTTTATCGTAACTGATCGTCCTCAATCTTATTAAGATGTTTTATTAACATGGTTATTAGATATTAGATACATACGTGTGTGTGTGTGTGTGTATAGATAGATAGATAGATAGATAGATAGATAGATAGATAATTTATTTTATTTATATATAGAGATATATATAATTTATTTTATATTATGTATTAGCTAATGTATTGCTATTACATATTACAATGTTTTAGATAAACATGTAAATACCCCACAAATAAAAAGTAGTAGTATAGTATAAACATACTAGTAGTATGTTTAGAAATGCTAAGGAACCTTGTTCTGCAAATTCCACAGGGGGTAATAATTCTGTCTTCATCTGTAGTAAGACAGTGAGGAGTTTTCCCCGTTAATCTAATTATTCTGTTTCCTGGCTCAGTGGATTCTAATGACACGCTCTATGGCGGAGATCCCAAATTCCTATCAGAGATCAACAAGCTGTGTGAGACTCTGATTGGACAGATCCTCGACCATCTGAAGACACTCGGTCGTGATGAGGTGAGGACGTGGCGCTTTTGATATAAATTCAAAAACAAAAAGCAACTGCTTCCACGGCTGAATGAATTATTTCAAAGAAAAATAATCTGGTTTTAGTGAAAATCCAGATTTCAAGCTTGCCAAAATCTGGATGCTGTGTAACCAAAGTTATGCTGCCTTCATGTACATGTGGGAATGAAAACCAAAAACTGGAAAACCACGCTGACATGGATTCCCACTCTCTTGCAGCAGAGCACACGCCGCCAGGGCGCTATGGCCTTCTCCCTGTTTGGTGTCCTGCTGGCTCACGGTGATCTGAGAAACAACAAGCTGAGCCAGCTGGCAGTCAACCTTTGGAACCTCAGCCACAAACATGGATACTGCGAGACCCGCAACTCCGTGAGTTCATGTTTCAGAGCTCTGAGGCCCACTCTGTACACTTTAAATCTGCTGTATTTGTGAATGCAGCCTCACTGACTTCTCTTCTTTGTCTGCTGCAGGTTCGGACTCTGGAGTTCATCAAACATCAGACTCAGCAGCCGGACATGACTCATCTGTCAGATATGGTCCAGAGGCTCACGCTGCAGTCTCGCACCTGAGCTCCACACTCAATGACGTGTTACACTGCTCAATTTAAATTTGTGTAAATAAAACCTAACAAAGGAATTTTATATGCCTGTTTTCTGTGTCTTGTGTAGACTTTTATATAGTGTTGAGTGTCCAAGACTGCAAGACGGTGGCCTCCAGCTGAGTGATTTCTTCTACAAACGACACAAAAAGCCTCCCACCAAACTAAAATAGGCCCTGCTAGGGGAGAAAGGACCCCACATACTTTTATCAGGAGTTGAACCACCACCTTTAAACCTCTGATAAGCAGCAGCCTCACAGCCCAAGTTAATGACACAAGTTTAAATGGTTTCACAGAGAAACTCCCGTCTCGCAGGTGCTAGCTGTTGTTACTAGCTTATAATTTTTGTAGGTCCCAGTGCTTGCAAATAAATAACAACAAGGAAGCAGTTTCACATTCTCACACTCTTCTCAGTTGTAGTTTATTTTCTTATTTAGTGACAGCTGAAAAGTCAAACACTTCGCTTTAGCTCTCAAAGGACAAAATGATCAGAAACAGCAGCAAACAGTCGTGATGACGCTCACCGACACACACTGCAGGCCTTTGGTCACACACTTCTTCCTGGTAACAACAGGACACATCTGACTAAACTGACTTTCAGGTTAAGAAAACAAAATTTTTTTTTTCCTTTGCTTACAAAACTCAAAGGATGCTGTGAAAAATTAACACTGAATAAAAATGTAACTGACAACACGGTAACACGTGCTTGAATGTACTCGCCTGAAAGTCATTTTGGCCTGAATTTCCCTTTTGGAAGGTGGACCCGGATCTGTGGGGTAACAGAAGCCAGCAGGATGAACCTAGTTCTTAATGTTTCATGACTAACAACAGCCGTTTAAATAGGAGGATTTCTGACGACAACTGCAGAAAGAAATGGTCTCTCTCCAACACGAGATAAACACTGACGACACGGAGCGTCTACACTATTCAGTCTGTCCCTCTGCAGCTGCCAGATTCTGTGGGGAATGTCAGTAATGATGTGTTTCAATAAATTATTCTGACTGCTATTTATTAGCATACCTACTGTCTTCATTTTATTTAATATACTTAAATGCAAAAAACACAAAAACTGAAGTTCCCCAGAAATTAATGTATTGAATTATCAGACCATTTATTGTTTGTTTTTGTTTTTTATTGTATTTCATTGGTTATTTGCTGTTCTTTTTATTTTATTATTAATATTGGCCTTTAGGACTTCCACAGCCCAACACGTAACTACATAAAAGTAAACTAGAACAGCCCTCAGAGAGCAGATACGCTTTATTTTTTTGCAGTTTTAAAGAAAGCGACGGAGATGTGGATTAAAATCTGTTTCTTTGCTGATGGGAAGAAAAATGTTTAACCAAATAAAGATTACTTTACACTGGAAGACCTGAAGACATTCCAAGTTTTCTGCCATTTATTGAAGGAAAAGTGTTGCACACCTTTTTCATATAATCAGGGCTGAAAAAGGTGTTTTCAGATAACATGGAGCACAATTGGGACTTCGATAAACAACAGACTGAGAAGACCTGAAGTTATCACAAGTCACAATGAGAAGTTCTCAATGTGAGCAAAAGACAAGAACGCTGTGCTCTCCGAGGGCCGATGACTTTAACACTGATAAGCAGCAGCTACTGAATGAATCATGCTTCTTATTTCGCACCGGCTGAACTGATGTTTCACCGCCTCCAAGAAAAACCTGGTTTGGACCTAAAACAGAGGCGGGAGAACGAGAGTCAAGCAGCTGGTTTAAATATTAGCAATTTACAACATGCGATGCAAGTTTAAGTCTAACAAACGTTCGTTTCACAGTGTCCGATTTCGCTCCTTTCCTAAAAAAAGGTCACTTTTGCAGCTGTGTAAGTGCTTTAAAAAGTCGCCACAATTTGATGTCTTGCAGTTGGAACAAAAAGTCAAATCCGAGGGGTTTTTTTTAATTCTTTTCTTCTTTTTTTTTTTTTTTTGGGGGGGGGGGGGGGGCACAGAATTCATCTTGGAGATTTAAAGCAACTCAGCAGCAGTTCAGCCAGCATAGGGCAAAAAGTTGAACCACACAACAACGGAGCCGTTTGATACAGACAGCTGTGTGTTTGCAGTAGTGTTACACAACAGAAATGACACTGCAGAATGGTTTGTTTGGTGGATGTTTAAGGTGCAACGTGACCTCTGATAATAACTTCAGAGCTCTGATGTTTGTTTGTTTTTTTTAAAAATGTCCATTAAACCGCAGATGAGATGCTGAAACCTGACCTCAACTAAAAAGCATAATTTAATATCCTACTGAGAGAAGATGAAGAAGAAACCTGTAACGGATTAAGTTGAAAAAACGCCAACCGCAGCTATACCGTGGCAAGTTGGAGACTTGCTGTGAGTCAACTAAACCCTCTTATCTGCGACATTATGTCATGGAGACAGACTTGTGATGCTGTCCTCTCCACTGAGACTCCAACTACCTCCTAGGAGCAGGTTTTCACAAGCAGTGAGGACAGTTGTGATGTCTTGTTTAAAAATCTTACACCCTTAAAGAACAAAAATGATGATTAAAATAATTGTATATAACAGTTCAACACAAAAACAGTTTGCAGTTTGGCGTTGTCAGTCCAGGCAGTGCTGACGGGGGTGTTTTTTTGTATTCGTTTGTTTTGCCGGTCCAATAGTTTTTCCTTTCTTTTTTTTTTGACTGGATGATTTGAGAGATGATGTTTCTGTTAAACAGCACACCTCTGAAATCACAGACCACCACCGTGCCCTGACCCCGCGGTGGACCTGAAGGAAGGAGGCTGGGTGGTCTTATTCATTATTTTTCGTGTGTTTGTTCTTGATTCCCTCATCCCAGGCTGCGTGCTCAGTCTAATTCTATGGGGCTGTCCTCTGGAGGTTCTTCAGTTCCGTCATCCTCCTCACCCGAACCCATCAGGCTGTTCAGCAGATTGCCTGCAGGGTGCAAAACAACAATCATCAGTCTTTCAAAGGCTGCTGCAGAGCCAACTGTGAGGTGAAATAGGGCTGTGCGATATATCAGGATATGACATTTTGGTCATAAGACATCTATCATCCCGATAACAATATAAATCACAGAAATTTAACATTTTCTGTAAATTCTGTGAATTGCAGGCAGCTCGACTTGTGTAAAGTGTTTCCAGCTGGGCGTCATGTACCTGGAGTCGAGTGTTTTAACCGATGCATGAAACGATACATTTTTAGACATAAGTTGTAACGGACGCTGTTTCTTTGTATTTATTACACGGCGTGCGGCGGGAAAAAGCCTGTTCTAACGTTTGAGTCTAAAGTTTATTTTTTAGCACCTGGCGGCTCTTTTTGCTTCTCATCCGTAAGTACTCTGCATACTCTTTTACGTGACTCAGTTTATTTTGAAAAGTCTCAACAGAATCCTGAACTTTATTGTGAAAGGTTTATGTGGAAACAAGCGGACACGCAATGGTTTTACTGTCGTTGTTGCTAACGACAACGCATAAAAACAGTCGCTTGTCCATCCGTAGTGTGGTTATATTAAATATAAGAGAAAGAGAGACCTTTAAGAAATTAATACAGCCACTATAGTGACCATCAAAACGATGAAAAAAATATTGCCGTAAACAGTTTATTTTGCGACACCACAAAACAAACGATAGCGTAAAATGAAACGATAGACGTTTTTATATCATCATCCGATGTATATATCGTTATATCGAACAGCCCTAAGGTGAAATATATCTTTATTTTACTGACAAGGAACACAAAAAACAAACAACTGCAGGAAAACATTTAAACTTTAATAATTTAAAAGATTTGGATTAAACATTTCCAGCGGTAAGCTGAGCCATCCATCATGGTCTCCATTTCTGCTCTTTCGTATTTGGCCACAAGCCTCCTTCTGTCAGAGCATCTGCCACCTTATTAGTCTCCTACTTCAAATTCCAACAGAGACGTAAAAAAGAGAAATAGAAATCTCAAATAGAAACGGATAAAGTTAATATCCAGCTTTTTAAACTGTTTTTGGTGGTCTGGTGATTCCACACAAAGTGTTTATGTCCATGTGGCCACTGAAACTACAGTGATGATATTCCCCTCATTTTTTTTTTTTTTTTACATATAAGTTACTGGGGGTTAAAACCAGGTCAGACAGCCTACATTCTACATGGGTAAGAGTCACGACTACAAACAGTTCCTTTAATTAAGCTGCCTGTTATTTTACATCTTGTCTAATAGCTTTTGAAGCACCTTCATAAATGATGCAGAGGCTTCAGGGAATTTCTTGATAGCATCACATTCAAAAGTAGCTGGTGATGAAAAACATCGCTATCAGTCTTTCTCTTCATCTTGCTGGTAAGTCTATTAACATGTGTGTGTGTGTGTGTGTGTGTATATACACATCACTTGTGTTTGCCAACTCACCTAGTAGTCCGCCATACGATGGGGACTGTTTGGGTGGAACGCCAAAGAAAAGCTGTCCTATTCTGTCGAGATACTGAGGAGTCACAAAAATGTCAAGAGAGAGAGGATTACACCTGAGTAGAGTCTGTGTTTACAGGCAGTTTAACCCCATAATGCAACTTCAATGACAGACTTTCTCCAACATCTTTAACCAAATGAATTCAAAGGTTAAGTTAGCCTAGTGCACATGGTGTAGTCATTTGTTACATAAATTTTGGGCAAAGACAATAAACAGTATGAAGCTGCAGCTCAACACTCACCTCATTATACATGGGATCCCTCTTCAGGGAAGGCTGATATTGCTCACATAACACTGTGAAAACTGTTAATTTACCCCTAAAGAAAACAAACAAAAAGCATCTAAATGATGAAAACAATTCACTGATATTTTTAAGCTTACTTCTGTCAGGCATGATAAGCAAACTCAACAATCACAACATCTGTCCTCACCCGTCCACTGCCAGCAGCAGAAACCAGATAAAGTTTAGTAGAGGCTGCACGAAAGGAGGGCCCCTCTCTATGGACGGGTGTTTCTCTGTGTACGTGCTGAACACCACGGAAGCGCTGTTTTTGTTCTTTAAGCAGAGGAACCTGGAGGGTTTGAGAGTTGAGAGAAGAAAGGGAGCGTTATGGAGATGGCATGATAATAAAAGTAAATGATGCTCAAAGCCTCTTTGAAGAAATGGCTGACAGTGTAAAAATAGATGCAGCTGCTGGTCGACATGTTGGAGATGGATGCGTCAGTACCATTTTCTCCATTTCTACCGCTACTGAACACTATACTCAATACTCCTGAGGGGTAAACTGCAAACCAAGTTCCACACAGCTAGGCTTTCTTGGATTTAGCTGGTTCAACAAAACCTACATCCCCAGTTTATAACAGGAATCACTAGCACTGTCATCAAATTTCTCTGTTAAGGTGGAATTTCTATTTCAGACTCTGCGCTTGGACACTCACATAAAAATGCATGACATGTGACTCTTCTGCACAAAAGGATTCCTATGAGCGCCACCTACTCCAATCAGAAACATTAGAAAACCACAGATGAATTGCCCTCTAACCTAATAACTGGTTGTGTTATCTTTGGCAGCAACACATGCAATCAAGCATTTGTCATAACTGCCTGTTTAGTGTCATGCCAAACATCTCAATCAGATTTAAGTCTGAACTTCGACTAGGACACTCCAAAACCATGATTTATTGAGTTATTTATTCATTTATGTTTAACCATTCAGAGATGGGATGCATAAGTGTACTTGAGCTTCAAGTCATGAACTGATGGTCGGACATTCTCCTTCAGGAGAAAGCAGAATTCATGGTGCCATCAGTTACAGCAGGTCATGCAGGCGCCAAAGCAGCTCCAGACCATCACACTACCACCACCATGTGTGACTGTTGGTATGAACTTTTTATGAAATGCTGTCTTAGTTTTACCACAGAATATTTTCCAAAAGTCTTGGGGATCATCAAGATGTTTTGTTTTTTTCTTGGAAAATGTGAGACTTTGTGTTGTATTTGGCCTCCTTGGAGCTCTCCCATGCAGGCCCTTTTTGCCCAGTCTCTGATTTGGGTAGGCTAGCCACTCCTAGGAAGGTTCACTACTGTTGCAAGTTTTCTCCATTTATCGATAATGGCTCTGACTGGCTCACTGGAGTCCCAAAGCCTTAGAAATGACTATCCAAGCCTTTCCACGCTGATAACTGTCAACTTTGTTTCTCAGCTGTTCTTGAGTTTCTGTAGATCACTGCATGTTGAGATCTTTTAGCTTGCTTCACTTTGTCAGACAGGTTCTATTTAAGTGATGTCTTGATCAAACAGATCTGGCATTGATCAGGCTGGGATTTAGCTAATGAAATCAAACTCAGCTTTCCAAAAAACAAAAAAAAAACCACACAGCTAAATTTAGCTCCCTCCCCATTTCCTAATTTTGCATCCAAGAATGTGACAAGGTGACAGTTCACTTACTGTAGGACGGCCTGCGCCACAAACATGTCAACCTCACTGCGGAAGCCTCGTGATGCTGAATACTCCACCAACATGTGTGCACAGCCCTCCCCGTCAGAGGAATGCAGGAAGTGATAACGAGACTCACTGTAGTTTTGCTCTGACGATTTAAAAGAAAAATACAACAACATCTTAATTTCCAAGATGGCAACATCAGGACAGTAATGATGTAGCAAGCAAAGCAAAACAACGTTACCAGGAAACACACAAAACAGGATGTCATTATACACAGAAGATGTCATGCGAGCATAATTCGTTAAGACGGACTGATACAAGGAGCAAAGGCCCTGTGTTTCTAGATTAAGGACACACTCTGACCTTGTGATATGACACTATGTTTTAACACATACAAAGCTATTGAATTTTAAACCCAGTTTCAAAACCCAGTCTCAACTGTGTATAATATAAATAAAAACAAGATGCAGGGATTTTATAAACCCACAAACTCCTTTAATTTAAAATAGAATATCCATTGTTTGAAATGAAAAAATGCACCATTATTTTAAAAGATTAGTTCATTTTGAATTTGATGGCAGCTAAAATGTCTCAAAAGTGTTTTAAAGACATTGGATGTCTTTAAAACATTTAAACTGCTGATCAGTACATTTGTTGCCCCCTTTTCAACAAAAATGTTGGAAAGGGGGCAACAAAAGGCTGGAAATGCAAGTGGCACAAAAAGAAACAGTGAGAGGAATATTTTCTAAACAAACTGGAAAGCGGTCAGTAACATGATTGGGTTTTAAAAAGGGCATCTTAGAGAAGCAGAGTAAAGTATGTAAAGATTGGCAGAGTTTCACCAATCTGCAAAAAACAGTCTACAACTTGTGTAACAATGTCAAAATGATGTTCTTAAGTGTAAAGCTGTGAACACTTTGAATATCTCATCTATCTGTACAGATTTTAGAGCAACATATCCTCCCATCTGGATGTCTTTTACATCGAAGGCCTTGCATATCTCAGTGAGACAATGCCAAACTGTAGCTACTACTACTACTACAACAACAGCATGGCTCCTTACTAGAAGATGATGTAGGTGGTGAACTGCCCTGCCTGCAGTACACTACACTCTCACCAACTGAAAACATTTAGTGCTTCATGAAGAAAATATTCAGCAACAGTCAGGACTATAAAGCAGCTGGAATCTCTATAAGACAAGAATGGGACCCTTTTGCTAACATTCTTCTCCCAAGAGTCAAAGAACTGCTCTCCTCAGCTCGAGGAGACTTGTTGGAGATGTGTTGCTGCCGTCAAATTCAAAATGAGCTAATATTTTTCTTAAAATGGTTCTTCTCAGTTTAAACAGTTGATATGTTTTCTATGTTCTATTGTAAATAACATATGTACTTGTGTGATTTGTGAATCATTGCATTCTGATTTTATTTACATTTCACACAGAGCCCCAACTTTTTTGGAATAGGGTGTTGTGTGTGTTCTCTGAGTAGTCTAGACATCATATACACCACAATTAAATCTAGTGTGTATGTGCATCGAAACATTTTGTATGTTTTCTATTGATCAAGCCAATCAGCCATTCACAAAGTGTGCAATCTGGCATTAATTATTACTTTGCAGTCATGGGTTCACTGTTAATAATCAATATATCTCACAAACTATCAGTAAACCGATGGTGTCTACTGATATCTTAATACGTACATTCAAAAACCTTCTACTCTCTGCGCTACATAATCAACATGATCAACTTTTACCTTTCCACAAAGTGACAGCAAGCAGCTGGTGTAGTTTTGGATGACCCAACTTGCCAGACCCTCCTGTGGACCATTTCAAGGCTCTGGAAACAAATGCTACTCTCTCTGGAGAGTTCTGGTCCATCTGGCTGAACAGTTTAGCCAGACATTCTTTAAAAAAATAAATAAATAAATAAATAAATAAATAAATCAGAAAAATATAAATGAAATGCCCTGTTGTGCAGACTTCTTTGACTATCATGAGGATTTATTAATACATCATTTGCGATCAGTTATACACACAGGTAGAGAAGTGAGATTTAGCTGATCAGTACAGTAGTTAAGGCCAATCAATTATTTATTATATGAAGCACAAATCCACAGTTCAGTTATTGCAGCAGTTAATGATCAGGATATGTTTGATAAACTGCACATATTCTATATGTGATTTTAGTTTGGTAATATTTATTTCAATAGAAAAAAATGTATTTACCACTATTTATAAGAAGTCTTGTAGATGAACTTTAAAAGTCTTGCACCCACCTAATATTTCATCTTCAACTTTTGTCTCAGATTTCTCCAAAACCTCCAGCACCAGCATGGACAGATCTGCTGCGCTGTTTTGCTGCAAACAAAAACACAGCAAGTGTAATTTTTTTTAATCTACACCGTCAGGAACTGTCTGGAACTTGGGTTAATGATCTACTATAAAATATTATAATTACACAAAACAAGTCAATTATTACAGCCAAAATTATTTGCTTTCTAACAAACTCAGTGCTGCATGTACCTGGTTGTAGCTGAAGAAGAGCAGTGCTCCGTTATACATCAGCTCCCTGGCCTCCGCATGTTTCCCCTGTGACATGTACCTGATGCAAGACAGAGTATCAGTATTACACAAGAGATGACACTATCCGTTTCCAAGGCACACAAGCTCAGTCCTGCTTTCCTTCTTTTTCACAGCAGGTATCAATGAAGGAAAACAATATTTTAGACTCCCTTTATTTCCAGGTGTTAACACTTCAATCATGAAAACCAGTGAATGAGCAGGCCAACACACACCAACTGTGAGAGAAAGAAAGCTTTCAAATTGGATTCAAATAGGTTTATATCACCTTTTTTTTAATTAAAAGCTGGTGGTACGCAGCTAAGCAGTATTGCACCTTGACTAATAATTTTATTGCACTAAATAGAGCTCAGATTTCATAGTGTTGGAGCAGGGAGTTAAGACTGAGCTTTTATGACAAAAACTGCAACACTCAAACGCTTAGGCTTATTCAGGTCTCTAAATGGACTGGCTGTGAATGAAGACACTTTTGCTAGCGATAACACGTCCAGCCATCGCGGTCCAGACCGCGACAGTGCAGAATGTTGCTAACTGGCTAACTCAGCCGGACATCTTCAACTAACAAGTTTTTGCAACCTCAGCAGTTACTAAAATAGTTAGCCGCTAGATTCGGTTATGTACGAATAAAGAGACTTTCAAGTTTCACACAAAAGCAGAATATCTGTGGTAGGCATTGTCCGGGTAGCTAACTACACTTCAGCCATCAAAAGCAAACACATAGCTGGCTAACTAGCATTAGTTAGCAGTCCCGTTTTGAGACTAGATGGAAAACGCGACAGTCCAAACAAACACAAGGATCACGAAGAGTGGGTGGGCCCGCTGTGAAAGCAGACCAATCACAGACAGTCTGGTGTAAAAGCAAGGTTGACAGCAGAATGATCTGGAACAGGCAGGCCTCGAAGCCAAACGGCAATTATAACCGAATGAACAAGCGTAAAAACGAAGTCTCACCTAAAAAATAAAGTCCTGTACATCTGATGTGCTTCATAATAATCCCCCTTTTCTACGCTGGCTCGCAGTTTTCCTTCCACCCTCTGTACGCCTCCACGGTTTCTGGCACTGGAGCACCTCAGAGACTCCTGCTCCGACATCGTTGCTCCTCCGTAGCAGCAGCAGCACACCCAGCGACTGTTGACAGGGTGAACCCGGAAAGCTTTAAACTTAATGGACCCTCGTCGCTTGCCGTAGCCGGTGTATCGCAGTAGGTGTACAAATTATGGAAGCATGAAAACTTTTGAAACCTTTTTGTAACCAGCAGAGGATGCTTGAGGCAACACGGTAACGAGGTTAATTGTAGGGAAAATAAAAATAAAAACATTATTAAAAAAAAAAGAGATTCACCGGTTTGTTTGTTTTTTTGGCATATATTATTAAACGCCTGGATAGTAAGTAACATATTTGCATCCTGATGCCGGACTTAAATTGATTAATTACTGTTGATTACTATAACAAATTGAGTTATCTAGATTTGGAGAAAAACTTGAAAACGGGATTTATAGTGAAGAATAAATAAATCATAGTTTTGTGGAGTGGCAGAGATGCTAAATATGTGTCCCATCTGTTGAACTTATTGTCATACATTAGCTAGCTGTAAAGCCAGCTTTCTGATATGTGTTATGCTTACAGACTGTACTGTTACTGTTCTTCTAGTGTCTGTAGAAAGCTATATGAGAAACATTACTAATCAGGAAAGATCAGAGAGAAAGACTTCACAGATAGAACACTTCTATAGATATTTGCTGTAATTACAACAACAGGAGGATCATTTCATACAGCTTAAGTTACTTGTATCTGTCACTCAATTTTTTATAACAGTCAAAAACGCGTCTTAATACACTTGAATCTGGAATAAATCTGTTACCTGAAAATAGACGAGGTGTCGGGGTTATAGGTTATATCCTATAACAACTTTTTCTTGTTGTGGTTTTGAGTCTATAGCAATATTAGTACTAATGGAATTTATTTAGCCAGAGGACATTTGGCATACTTGGTGACTCTGACTGTAGTTTTTGGGAGTGAAAGTATAAGAGCACATAGTGTATTGAATACTTGATGTAACTAACTCTGCTTCACTATTCTTATATTCGTTATCAGCATTTTAGCTACATTATCAAGAGAAGTCTGTGGAAAAATTTACTTATCAAAGCTAGGTAACCACAGTTGTCTGACAGCCATACATTTGAAAAATTTAAGTGATTGTTGTTTCATGAGTATATTTAAGGGTACATTTATTTGTTATCATATTATCATGTTATCATATTTAAGAGCACATTTATTTGTTATCTATAATAACACATAAGTGACAGACAAGTTAGTTCTTTTAAATTTTTATATATTTTTGTAGGTTTTGTAGTTATTTTCCCCTCTTAAATTATGGAAGAAGAATGAAAAGCAGAAGTAAATTTGATAAAATATTCATTTATAAAATGCTAATTCTGCAAACAGTGACTTTTATGCATCAGTAGACAAATTCAGCTGAATATTTGGGCCACATAATCAGCAATCAGTACTTTGCTGAGAAAAGTAAACAGTAAACATTTAAGCATTTAGTAGCTGTAAACAGCCGTCTGGAGAACACAAAGTGATGAAAAATTGATGGATTAATCTAATTAAGAATATAAAAATTAATATGAAATATATTTTAAACAATCTAGGGTATGTTGGAAACTATAATACATACCACTGTCCACTGCTGAACAGTGGCAAACACCTCCACCTCCACCATCTTTCCAACTTGTTGCACATAATGCCCTTTCTTCTTCTCTTCTCTCTCTACATATATCCCAGTCTTTTAGCCAGTGCAGAGGTCATATCAGCCAGCAGCACCTCCCTCATGTGGTCTTCTCTTCTCTGTAGCTCGTGGACAAAATGCCCCTTCAGCTCCATTACCTCCATCACGCGCTCCACCAGCTGCCTGCGTGTAACACTTCTTTCCTCTGCAGGGCGGTCGGGACTGTTATCCACCAGTTCAGGCCTCTGGCCACACAGTGCCACAGCCCTTTTCAGATTTCCAGCATCTGCATCAAGCAGCTGATCTAAAGTGTTCCTTCGACCCAGACGGTCTGCATGAGTGAGCACTGGGATAATGTACCTCTTGACTTCCACACCGAACAGTTCCATTGTGGCTTGGACTGCTTGGGCAGCATCCTGCTCAGCCCCCTTGGTGAAGCCTGGAGCACGCATCACCAGTAGAAAGGCATGTGGTCCGGGACTGGCGAGCTGGACACTCCTCAGAACTTCCAGTGCTCTCTCTCTGTTCCCTAGTGACGTCCCCAAAAGATCCGGGGTCTGAATTACTATAAGTTCTCTACCATCTATAAAAGCCCTTTGCACAGTACTCTCCTTTAGAGGAACCCTTTTGGTGCTTCTCTCACTGGTGTTCATTAAAGTATCTGCTAAGGAAGTCCGTCCTCCACCAGGAAGCCCCAGGAGGACCAGCCTGAGACCTGGTTTCTTGGGAATACTGCCGCCAGAGGGATCAAGCATTTGGTTCAGCAAGCTGCTAATTACTTGATCATTCTGTGAGTTCAAAGACCCGTCTCTGGATGACTCTACAGAGATAATACAATATTATTTTAGAATAAAAAAAAGCCTTATGGGGTAAAGCTGTGATTCTAAATCAAAAAGAGCTCAATCTGATTATCTAAAATTTCATTTTTTTTCATTTTCTCAGTTGGGAAATTTATAAGAAGAGCTGTAAGAACTTGTGTGGAATAACAATATTTTCTGCTGAAAACAATACAATACATGCCAAAGATGGTGATTCAGGAAAAGAGGGCACATCGTTGCCTCAATTACATACAGTCAGTGACATAAGAATGAATTTTGTGTCACATCAGTGAACGCTTTAGGCCAGTTTGAGAGATAGTGTAAGACCATTTGTGAAACCTGAGACTGAGCTGAAAGTGGACCTTGTGCTCAGGATAATGATCCTGAACAGATTTGCAAGTACAACAAGAAATATATCTCAGAAAGATGAATCACTCCATAATCCTTATAATGCAAAATGGGCATTATAAGGACGCGAGAACCTGAAATATCCTGAAACTGAAGGAGTTTTGAATGAGAGTTCTTAAACATACCAGAAAGCCAATAATTATGGAAAAACTTCTCATAAGGTTGATTCTGTAAAACCACTAGCTTCTGAGACCATTGATCGTTTTCTGAGACAAATCTCATGAAAGCACAGAACTACAAAAAATGAACAAATACATATTGATATATAGAGTATGTAGCTAAATATAGCTAATAAAAATGACAACAAACTGACTGTTGATGGCTTTGATGACAGCAGCGATCCACTTGAACCTTGAGGAAAATGCTGAGGAAGCAAGCAGACAGAAATTTACATTAGTGTTGTAATTACTCGCATGTATCACAGAAACAGCTGTGATGCCTTCACATTTTAAACTGCTGTCACATGTCTGCTTGCACTGCTGGGTCACGTCCTCTGATAGCCACTCAGATTCTAAACGTTTTCTTTTACGCTCTCTCCGAAAAAGCCTATTTGCAACACGCAGTGAAGAGAAAACAAAATCCAACAAAGATACGAGAAATACTTACTGGCTAAAAAGCGCCAAATCCGAGACAGCCACTTAAACAAGGTCTGGATTACTGAGACACGAGACATGGAGTGGAAAAAGTCAGCTCCAGTTTAACAGATTTTGTTTTAAATGGTAAAATGGGGGATGTGCTTTATACCTCGGAGGGTTCCCACAAGCCGACTTATCCACCCCCAAAGAGCTGACAGACCTGAAGGGAAAAGAAATAATCAGTGCGCATGAATTAACTCATTTTTCTGGTTTTGTCCTGAAACTTGGAAGTCAAAGTGATGTATTAGCTTAGATAAACTCACCAGTTAAAGAACAAAAGAGACGAATCGGCCATCGAATCAGAGCTGGGAGAGCTGCAGGGAAGTGTGGCTAGAATGAGTATCGCAGAGTGTGATAATAACAGGGAGACTTATTTATTCATTTTCTATAATGAACATGGATTTATTCATATGCCATAACTGTAGGATCCATACTGCCCTCTTGTATTTGTTTCTTTTGGATTTACTATAATCAAACTCTACATTCAGTCAGCTGATACAGGACAAAAGACACACTGTAGACATGAGCAAGTGGTGTATGAACACAGAGAGAGAAAACAGCTGATTAAAGACGAAACACTCATTGAATCGTGGGAAATCTGCAGCATCCTAAGCATATTGCTGCATAACTAAGAGATGATTCAGTGTATCTTTTGTCCTGTCTCCCTCTCTGAGCCTGGTTCTGATGGAGGTTGCTTCCTGTTAAAAGGGAGTTTTTCCTCCCCGATGTTGCCAAATGCTCGCTCATAAGGGGTTGTTCTGATTGTTGAGGTTTTCTCTATTATTGTCAGAAAATGCCTGAGATTACTGTTGTGATTTGGTGCTATATAAATAAAACTGAGTTGAGTTGAATTTACCTGAATTGAATTAAATTGAACGGGGCCTGATTATTTATGATCTTCATGCGAAGAGAAGCATTTTAAATTTGATTATGCATTTAACGGGCAGCCAGTAAAGAGAAGCCAGTATAGGAGAAATACGCTCTTTCTAGTCTCTGTCCCATTTTGAATCATTTAAGTGTTCAGATGACATGTTATTGATTCGGTTTAAAGATTTAGACTAGTGTGTCGTATGTTTGCGGTATGTTACTCGCAATTACTCCCCCACCCCCCTTTATCTCCTGTCTTTCGATATCTTGGCCCTCACACCCTGTCAGGTCTGGCATGACAACCACTCAGATAATAATGTGAGATCTAAAATAAAAGATATAAAAAATAAATAAAAGAAAACAACTAACAAGAGGAGCCTATAGACTGTCTACAGCACTCCTCTTGGCAATGCAAATGTGTTTGGCACAACAAAGCAGACCATGATTCTGTTTGATAAAAGTGCTGGACAGGAGAAGTTTAAGAGAAAAAGAAATGGGAAAAAAAAAACATGTTTACTACCTGAAAATAGTTCCCTATTACAGATTCATTATTTATTTTCTAGACTCAGTAAAAGTCATTAAACAGTACAAGTGTGGGTGTTGCTGTGTGACTGACTCTGTGAGAACCTGTAGAGAAGATACCCCACCACGGTAAAAAGTCCCATCTGGACACTGTTGGTGTTCATCCACCAGCCTATCAAGGAGAAGGCAGGGAGGCAAACATGACATTAGCGGTGCAGAGCTGTTCACAGCTTAGCATCAGTTTAGCCTTTCACCCACATTGAGAGAAAAAAAAACCCCTGAAGGATCCCAAGAAAGCTGTGTCACATGGTTTTTGATTGTTTACACTTATTTTTAAGACTTAACTTGGCTGTAAAGACCGCAAACTACAATGCCTGAACTCAGCACTTTACATGTAACATACATTTTGCAGCAATAAAGATGCATCATCAGAATATGATACTTAAAAAAAGACCAATAAATTAAAAAAAAAAAACATGTCAATATCATATTTTTTGTGTGTAAATCTTTATTTTTTTATGTATATTTTGCCTACCTGCATCCTCAGGGGTGTCTTTCTCACACTGACACTCCATGTCTCAGCAGATGGGAACGCTGTAGTTGGTGTCAAAGTAAGAAGAACAGGCAGCACCACTTCTACTCAGAGCTAACACAGGTTAAACAAGCTGCTTGAAAAACGCTGCAATGTTTATGTAATTTTCCTAAGTGTTCAGTTATAACAAGGAATAAAAACTCATCTGATATAACAGGAAAGGGTTCTGATTAATAGGTGTCTAGACTACAAGACAGAGCTGAAAAACCAAACATAACGTAATGTTGTTAAGTCCTTTTTGAGCTATATCGACAGCAAAATGCTCATGAAGAGCTTTTACCTGATGTGTAGTCAGATAATCGCCCTCCAAGAGTGACATCAGCTTTCAGACTGTCAGTACAACTCACATGGGGTTAAAACTCTGATTTCTTCTTCCTGCTTTTGCGCAAGTATTAGCCTGCGCAGGCCTGCCCTCATCAGGAACAGTACTTCCTTTTTGTTATGCAGCAAAACAAATCATTGACGAGGCCCAGGAATGCTGATCATGCAGTTTGACCTGGGACACACCTTTTTTTGTGCAACATGAACAACTAGAAATGCAGCTTAAGGTGAACTAACCTGTGTGATTATGTAAATAAAAGGAATCAGGTGAGTAGTATAAAACAGTTTATTAATGCAAATGCAACGCCATCAAGTGTCACCACACAGTATTTATAAGATCAGTGTATTCCAATGCTTCTAGACTTCTTTATCATTTCAAACACCACGAGAGTGAATGCTTGATCACAACAGAATGAGGCTTTTTTAAACATTCAAACAGTATTTATACATAATGGGGCTGTCACGCTGTTCTTATCTAATCAAGCCCAACAGGAAAACACAGCGTCTGGTCCATGTGAGGGCCACATAGAGAGTTTAAAACAAGCACAGGAACCATACATGATGACTGCTCAAACAGATTCAAAAATTAACCAGAACTTTGTGCAAAGCTGTTGTGGATTAAGTCTGGTGTAGACTCCTCATGAGCCTAAACGGGCAATCAAAGCATCTATCAGCTCCTGCTTCTTGGTCCCAGTGGTTCGAACCCCAAATTGCTTACAGGCGTCCTTTAGAACGGGCACGGTCAGCTTTGCCAGAGTGCCGTTCTGCACGTGGGCCTTCAACTCATCTTCTGTCAGCTCTACTTTGGGCTTCTTCTCAGCTCCACCTCCAGTATCAGCTACGAGTTCATGGAGTAAAAGAATAATCAGATTTATCAAATCACAGAATTCCCAAACTACTGAATGATGCAAGTTATTAATAAGTCAATCTGACTACCTGGAAACATTTTGCTTGGGATGTAATTCACAACACATACTAGCACATAACGTACGTTACATACGTAGTTTCACTGATGGTTCATGCTCTGACCTGTTTTGCGTTTGGCAGCTGGCTTGCTCTCTGGATTGTAGTAGGCAGGGTAGACCAGATCTTTGAACTCCTGGACCAGAGGACCCAGACGCTGGTCTATTTGGTCAACCTTTGGCACTGAGGAAGAGAAAGAACGCGATGAGTAGAATTACTCTAGCAGCCACAAAAGGAAACTGGGATCTGTGTTTAGGTCTGCATCTTACTGATGAGATCCTCAATTTCCTCTGGAGCCATCATATCCAGAGCCAAGGCCTCCAGGTTCCTAAAATGCTGCTGGATGACTGGGTTCTCAAAACCTTCACTCCTGCATGACATTACAGAGTGTGAAAATAATATTAGTGGTTACTCAAAAAAACAAAAAGGAAATGCGTGAGTCTGATATAAACCAGAGTACTTCTTGTTGTTAGTTTTATGAAATTTGATATAACTCCTCAGTTTTCCTGTAAAAAAAAAAAGAAGAAGGGGGCTCTAGAGTTACCTGTATTTGAACCTGAGTTTGGAGACAATCTCTTTCATCTTGTCCACCTGTGTTTGTGAGGCCAAGGGAAACTGCGGAGGGTCCAGAGTCCGAAAATCATCGGCGAATGGCAGGTAGATGACGTTGAAACCTGGTAAAGTCATGAGCAGACAAGACGCGTCACACTGCAGTCAATTACACACAACTAAGTTCAAATGTTTAAGTAATATTTATGTATTTGCGAGTTCTCTGTATTACTGTAAAATTTAGTTATTTTTGCTAAAAGCTGTAAAGACTCTGAAGTTCCACTTAAAGAAGCTAAAATAATTGAATGCAATTAGCCATCTTGACCCCAGCACCACATTACCTGGTGGTGTAATCTGTGCTTTTCCCTCGTCGAGCTCCTCATTCTGAGGCAATAGGGCAACAAACCGAGGTGGATAGTTTCTGCGGGAGATGAAACGGCACAGAGCGAACACGTTCCTCTCGCTGCACTTCTTCAGCAAGGCGGAGAACAGACATGAACTGCCTTGAGTGAAAATAAATAAATAAATAAATAAATAAATAAATGAATAAATAAAAATCACAGGATATCCGATTCAGTATCAATGAGATCCACATTTACTATGACTGAACAGACAATTTTTATAGCTGCTTACATTTTAATAAAAGCTTTTACTTTAAACCCATCATCAATTCTATTTTATCAAATGCTTCTCAAATTCAGGGGAGCCTAAGCACGACTCAGCTTTAACTCAGCGTTCTTGGAACAGAGTCTTTGCATGCAGGGTGTGGATGAGAGAAACTTAAGTTGACTATGACCTTTATTTGAAAAAATATTTAGAAATATCCAGAGTCAACACTGTGGTTTTATTCTTCCTTCCTAGAATTAAATCAGACATACAACCGCACACACAGTTCTACCTTTCACCTCATCCTCCTCAGGATAGAGGAAGACAGCAGGCCGGATATGGTGATGCAGTTTGAGCTTTTCCATCGGTTTGAATCCAATCAGAAACAATCCAGGGTCATCAAACTTCTTAATGGCATCCACCTCGTCCCTCTCCATCACAATTTCTTTACCACCATAATACTACACAACACAACACACACACACAGAAAAAGTGGAGTTTTCATGTGTAAGTTAAATCTTAAAAAAATAAAAGGAAAAGCACTCAAATAATGGAATAAACATAGCACTGCTTTCGATTGGGATCACGAGATTTTCATTACCTGGGCTTTCTTTATCTCACTGGGCAGCAGCAGACTGCCAGTTTGGGTGTGGAAGGTTCGAGTTTTGCTGCGGACTGGCTCGTTGGTTTCCCTGTAAAGTTTGATGGAACCTGGTTTGCGAGCTGCCACAGCAGTTGCATAAATTCCCACGGCTACATTTATGCCCTCCCCGAGGCACAGGTTTAACCTAAAGACAGCAGAAAGAATAGATAGTGTAAAGAACAGCCAAGAGGAAAAGGTAAATAAATACGCTATGGATACAAAGAAAGCCATCGCTTACCTTGCCAAGGCTCTTTTCTTTAGCTCTTTGGCCCGCACCCGTTTCTGGAGGTCCTCCAGCTTGTCAGAAGGCTGCAGCTGCAGCCCCATCTCACTCTCATCCTCTGGTGGACTTACAATGTCACAAAAGAAGAGCGAGATGTTGAAGCCCCCCGGTTTCATCAGGTGCATTAAATCAATAACGACGCCTAAAAGAAGAGGGTCGAGGGAAGACAGCCCACATACACAATTATCCAATGATAACAAATCATCACACTTCAGTAAAATAATGTGAACTTGCAGAATTAGCAGAAGATAGAAACCCGAAAGGCTGGTAAAGTTAATTACCAGGCAGTGATAAAATTTACAGTTAACAGGGCTTGCGTGAATAGCTTCTTTTAGACCCACCAGTCTCCTTGAGATCACTGGCCTTGGTGCGAGCCTGTCGGTCTTTCACGCTGTCGCCTCCGTGTGGTTCATCCCTGCACGTGAAAATCATAAGCCGCTTGTGCGAGAGGCGGAGCTTGATGTCACTGTAGAGGTTGGCACAGCACCACAGAGCGTCTCCTAATGATGTCTCTCCACTGCCTATGGTCTCTGTTGCCAGCTTGGCACCTTTTTCCCCCCGCAGAGCATCTACCTCCTGGACTCGCTTTGCACCTGTACAAAGCAAGAGACAGACAAGGGTATAAGAAAGATATGTTCAGCCGTTTACAAACTACTGAGGAAGTATGAGCCAATATTGACTGCAGCTTTGCTCTGCTCTTTTGAAGTTTTGGTCTAAAATAAAGGAAAAAAAAAGAGGAAAAAGAACTGCAGATAAGAAGATTGCCTACATTTGTGTTTGACAAAACAAAATAAAGTGTAATTATGTGTTTGCTTGAAAGAGCTGCAGCTTACCAGGCTCATTGAGATCATGGTACACATAGACATGCTTAAATGAGTTTCTGGGGTTCTTGCTCTGCTCTGTGCCGTAGAAAACCAGAGCCACCAGGTCCCTGTCGCTACTGATGATCTTACTGGTGTACACAGAGCGCACAACCTACAAGAGCAGCACACAAACCATCATTGTTACAAGGTTGCTATATGAAGCAGAGCAAAATAACTACTATAAAATTAAAACTAGCAAAAGAAAGAGATAACCAGCCATCTCACCTGCATGGTCATATCAAAGTTGGAGGGTTCCCCGTCTTCCCCTTTGATGAACATCTCCTTGGAGGCATCAACCAAGAACACCAAGCTGTCTCTCCCTGTAATTTTGTAGTTTCCTATTGAAGATGGAGACCTGGTTGATTCTGTTGTCACTTCAGTATCACTTTTTGTATCAATGCTACGTGCCAACATTTTACTTGTGCTGAAGTAGATTTTAATAACTAAAATGTGATAATAAAATGTGATAACAGCAAAAGTATCATTTAACAAATTCTGAGCCACCCCTCAATTCTTGACTTTTTGCCAGGTGCAGCATTTATTGAAACATGTGCAAAGATACAAGGAAATACAGTATATAAGGCAAGTATTCTCACAAAGGCGAGTTTATACTATTTTACAAACTTGAAAGTCAATATTTGGTATGCCAACTTTTATTCATCAACACAGCCCTAACTCTCTAAGGTAAGTTTCTTGTCATTTCATTAAGTAGTCTTTAGGAGTAGTTCTCCAGGCTTCTTGAAGAACATTCAAACCTCCTGACTGTGACAGGATCAGCTGACTGTGACAGGAAGATGGCGCCTTTGCTTGGCTTGACTTCTACCTGCCTACGTTGTATTGTATTTTATGTTTTTATATCAGCCCTGACGTTTAATATATGGAGCTATGCCGCTGTGATTTACGACCGTTCTTCCATATTGATGATGCCTCACCTAACTCTGCAGCTGAACTTTTAGTGTTAGTTGCCTTTCTACACCTGAATGATTTATAAGTCAGTGTTAAGTGAATTAACAATTAAAAGCATTCCTCTGAAAATTGCCAGGTTCAAGAACTGGAGTTAATAAGGGGGGAGGAAAGCAGCCAATGCTTAAAAAAAAACTTTGAAAGACCTTCATAAAACCTGGAAAGCTATTGCACAAAACACAACAAAGTGGGGCTCTTAGCTAAATATAAACAAATAAGTGGTGGCTCAAGACTTTTGCACAGTGGTGTAAATAAGCGTTGAGTAGCGGTTTTTCCTTTTACCCCCTGACTGCTCCCCTTCTTCTTGCTCTCCCTCCTCATCCTCGTTTTGGTAGTAGGCGTTCCACTCTGCCATCGGTGCTGCCTTCAGTCCCGTCTCAGGATTTACTGTGAAAACCAAGGATAAAAGACTGCCGCATTTACAACACTAGATTCAAACAAAGTATCAATGGCAGAAGGCTTTTCTGTGGCGTATTTAAAAAGTGCATCCTATGTACTCCTACAAATAAACATATGGTGCAACTTTCACCAGATAATAATTATTATGCACACGACAATGTATTTCAAAACAGTTTTAATGTCTCGTTAACGCATTACTAACGTTTAATTAACTATGTTTTTAACTTTAGCTAGCAAATGTTAGCTAGCTTAGATTGTAATTAGCCACTTTTCATGCCATTTCTATTTAGGAGCCGACTATGTAACAATGTTATGGGTCTAATGAGGCACGAAAATTGATAGCCTAAACTTACAACATAAATGAAATACATACACAGTTTTCGTCAGAGAATTCCGTCACTTGCCGTGTGCTTCTCCTTTCTGCACACAAGTCCAGGCTAGTTTTAATCACTGGCGCGTTCAGATACGCGAACAAGCACGGTTCAAACGCCTACTGGATGTCTTATCGTCTATTGGCAGTTTATCTGCCAATCTAAGGTATTGGCCAATCCCGTTTAAAAACGCGGGGTTTATTTACCCTAAAGCCGGAAGCCTGCTGTTCACGTGATAGGACAGTAGTGTTATCGTTGATAGACAGTGACACAGCACTGGATTTGACTCCCGGCAACTTCGAGCTAGGTTTTACATTTACTTTTTTATTTTACAGTTATTACTAGCATTTTAAACAGCCTGTAGCCTGAATTTATTATTTCTCACAGTTCCACCACCAGAAGGTTTATTAAACTTTTCTTTGCCACCGGGAAGCTAGCTAGCTGGGAACTCTGTAGTGACTAAGTAACTTTCTAGAAGGTTAGCCGCATTGTCGTTGCGAATAAATCGTTTTGCGTTATCATGGACCAAACCGATTCTTATCCAGTGAAACTTTACGTTTATGACCTGTCCAGAGGGATGGCCCGTCAGCTGAGTGCTTCCATGCTGGGTGAGTTTCTGACTAACTCTGTCATGACTCAGTGGGATGCTTCGGAAGTGAAAGTTGTTGTTTTCTAAGGGCGGAAAAAGTTGATCGTAATTTAAATTATTTTCTCTTTACAGGGAGACATATTGATGGGATATGGTGAGTTTACATAAAGAAAGTTCTATAAAAAGTATTCTCACTGAGCACCTGAGCTGCAGTTAAGTAGTTTAATACCACTGTTTAAAAAACAAATGCATTGGCGTCTAACAGGCACACGGGTGTTGTGGTCCACGGCAAAGAGCACTACTTTGGTGGATCAACAGGCATCACCAATTGTCCACCTGTAAGAATCAGCACCGTCCTCTCATATAAACAGTGCACTTTAAAGCCGTTTGATCTAGACACAAAATCAAGAAACTTGTGTCAGAGTCTCAGTGACAAGTCACTGAAGTGTGCATCTGTTTGTCTCCTAGGGAGGCACCCTGTTGGGTCCGCCTGATTCTGTAGTAGACATGGGCTCCACTGAAGTGCCTGAAGACCTTTTTAAGGAGTATTTAACTTCACTGGGAGAGTCCAAGTACAGGTAAAATAAGATGATTATTGTTGTTGTTGTTGTTGTTGTTATTTTGGAAAAATACAACTGAACCAAACAGTTACAAATGATTTGTTTTTAAGTAGCACCAGTAAAATTAAGTGCATAGCTTGAATGCACAGAACAAGGCTCATGCGTTACTGCCCTGTTTGAGTCTAAATAATAGTTTTTAGGAATGAGCTAAAATGTACATATAGTGTTCTTCCCCCTCATTATTTTGCATTTAAAACGTTTCTGTCTCATCACTTCCTGCTACTCGCCTGCTTTTCTCCACCCTGTGGTGCACCTCTCTCTCCCTCTCTCTGCGCTTTGAGCTCCTTCTTCTTCCATCCTCTGACTTCCTCCTTCATTTGTTGCAGAGGTGCCAATTACAACTTGTTTGAGAACAACTGCAACACTTTCAGCAGTGAAGTGGCTCAATTCCTGACAGGCAGAAAGATCCCATCGTACATCACAGACCTTCCATCTGACATCCTCGCCACGTAAGCTTCTTAATTCTGTGCAGTCGAATTGAGTATCTGCTGATACTGATGGCAAAACACTAAAAATGCATAATAATATCAATTATATTATAGATAATAAATATAAATGGAAAAATGCATTTGGAATTATATGCACCCTGAATGTTGTATTAAATACACCATTACAATATGAATGTACAGTTGTCAAAAATTAGAGACCTGGGTTGAGAAACACTCAAAACACTGAAAATGAGAAAAGTATTTTTACACTGCCCAAAATAAACTACTATTTTTGGTCAACTATGATCACTAATAAGACATTTATTGGCCTTTTCACATGTAGAACTTTCAGCTCCACTTATTAAAGATTTAAGTGAGTGATTTAATTTTGACCCGGTGTCGTTTGTAGAAAAATCCGAAATAAATGGAAACTTGTTATTTAAAGACATTAAAGATGTATGCTGTACAATCATTTCATCCTGCGTCTCTTTTGAACGATTACTCTTGTGGTATTAAGTGTTTGCTGTTCTTGTATGATATAACTGACTAAGACTTTGGTTTGTAATGTAACTGTACTCTCTGCTGTATTTCCTCACAGACCATTTGGCCAGGCTCTCCGTCCCTTCCTGGATTCCATGGTCATAAATCCTGGAGGCAACAACCTGGCTGGGCAATGATAGACCGAGTCGTGGATTTTAGAAGATAACTGATAACATCCCTGCTTGTGGCTGGCAAGTCACTTCTATATTTAATCAGCCATCACTTATTGTTATTGACTTTTATGGTGTTATTCAACATACTCTGAGGTGTATGCGAGGGGTGAAGGTGTGCTAAACTCTGTGGACAGGGGACTAAAAATGGATCTTATACTTGTTTGTGTACATTAACGTGTTTAAGATTACGTTTTCTTGGGTCAGCAGTAGTGGTGCAACGGATCAAAAATCTCACGGTTCGGATCAGATCACGGTTTTAAGTCACGGATCGGATCAATTTTCGGATCAGCAAAAAAAGAAAAAAGACAAAAATTTAACATTTACTTATTGAAGTATTTTTTTCCTGTTAAAAACATTCAACTCAAGACTCATTGCACGCAATTATTAAAAAATATATATTTTGGTACAATATAGGGCAGTACAGTCTTTGTATCTACCACTCAATTCAATTCAATTCAATTCAATTGTATTTATAAAGCGCCACATCACAACAACAGTTGCCTCAAGGTGCTTTATAAGGTAGGTAATAAGGTATAAGGTATGTAAGGTAGACCCTACAATAATACATACCGCTCATTATATCGCACTCTGCTGTGATATAATGAGCTGTCACGGTCACGTAGCTTTCCGTTGCCCTGGAGCTCCACCCATTTGTAGTAGTTAGGGCAACAGAAGATGCCTGGGACAGTTCAGCCATAACTTTAAACTTTTCCTGGTCATACATGCTTGGAACGATCTTGCCACTAAAGTGGACGCGAACGGGATATCATAGCGTGGCTCAAGCACGTTCATCATAGTTTAAACCCCTTGTTTTGCACAATGGAATACGGCCTCCCATCTGCAGCTAAACATCCCAATAACTTTTGTAATAGCTTTAGCCCGATCGGATTGGGCAGCAAAGGGCTGCTTAAATACCGCAAACTCCTCTGCTCCTCCACTTGGACCGCTAGCGCAGGCCATAACTATCGCTTGACAGACCCACCACACGCACCATACACGTACTTTTTTTTTTTCTTCTTATTTGAATCTTCGGATCACGTGCGTACCGAACCGTGGAGTGTGATCGGTTCGGATTACGGATCAACCGTGATCCGTTGCACCACTAGTCAGCAGGATCACTATACGTGCATATCCTAGTATTAGTATTCAAAGTTGTCATTTTAGAGGCAGGATTCATCCTCTCATGCACTGCTACTTATGAGAGGCGTTTTCAACAGGTATTGTCATCCTCTCACGAGGTGCTCCATTATGTCTCTCTGTCATTGTGGCAGTCTGTCACAAAGTTTATTATAGTTAGATGTTAGATAACTGCTCAAAAGAATCGAATGATGAAGAATCCATGAATCGTACTATCATCACATAACCAGCACTGGCCTTGTCTTCCAATCTTTCTGTTTTAATGTGTCTAAAGGATGTCTCAGTTTTAATCATTCACACAGATAATGAGAATTTGTAATGTAGTTTTTTGTTTGTTTTGTAGTTTTCATGGACAGCAGACCTTATTGTGTCTTTCTCCAGAGATCTTGAGGCAGAGAGATGGCATGTAAGGACTCCCAAGTTAAAATCTGACATTTATGGAATTAAAGGAAACCTTTTCTTTGATATTTCTCTATATGTGAAGTTTTTATAGTGACTTTTTAAAATAAAATTAGTTCAGGAACTACCCAAATAAGTGCCTAGAGGCATTTAAAGATCACTGGCAAGGCTTATACTTCTTGCTCTAAGACTTGATTACAAAAAATATTAATGTTGAAAATGGTAGTGTAAAGACTCTGATTGTGTTACGTTGGTAACAAATTGCTAGATGTGTATCAAAATGCACAAAGTGCCAGGATGTAGTTGTTTTGGCAGAAATCCAAATCTGAATTTGAGTCCAATGCCAAAAATGAGGTATTTGTTCCTTAGTCCATTGTCACATTTTGGTCAGTTTGTTTATTTAACGTGCCATGCTGTGTTCTGCCTTTTCTTCAGTGTGGGTGTGAAATCGTTTCCACTTTTTCTGTCCGTCATCCCAATAATGTAAAAACTACTAACTTGAATTTCATGGAACTTGGTGGAGAGGGAGAAAAAAATGTAATCTGGTGCCTTAATTCTTTTCATTTGTTTGTTTTTACTGCTTGTATTCCTGTAGTTATTAGAACAGGATGCATTTCAATGCCAGCTCGGTTAAACCCGTTCTGCCGGCTCGTCTGGCTTTAAAAGTATCTTTTGACCAAAGTTTTATCTTCAGAATATCACCTCCAAGTTATGCATTTCGTCCAGGAACATCAGATGAACACAGGGAATTATATTTTTTTTATGCATTTATTTTTTTTAAATTCAGGACCACTCAGCTTTACAGCTTTCATTTGCTTTGTCGGGTTTAGAGTTTTTTCAGTTTATAAAGACGCACTGTTTCATATACATTATGCATATTTGACTGTTTATATTTGCACAATTAAACCAGGCACAGGAAAACTATGCGTATCAACCACTTACCTCCATCACTGTTTTGGCAAACTGTGTTTAATTGTTGTGTTTGGGACATGTTTACTCTAAATATTGTTTAACCTGTTGCTCCTTCACCATCCTGATCCTACATAAAGGGTATGCGTAGATCATTAATGCACAAGTCTCAAAAAGGCCATCATTTTGCTTCTATTCAAATATAAATAGGTCTTTAGTTTATTCAGATTGTGAATCTAAAATCACTGAATTGAACCTGAATTTGTTGAGGGGGAAAAAATGTACTTAAAAAAAGATGTTTGCTTACAAGCAGAGGGTCACACGTGGTTTAGACAAATGTTTGTCTTAAAATGATTAATATATATGTTCGTCTGACATCTAAACCATCATAGGTGGTATCCTGGGCTGTTTAAACTGGGGTGATCACTGATGATGATCTAGACCTCACAAGGCAAATGTTTAACTCTGCACTTTATTAAATGTGTGACATTTTCAAATACTATCTTCCATTAAAATTGTTATTCTCTGAAGACTTTTCTGTTGAGTTCTTTATTAAAATGTTCAGTTCTATAGTATTCATCAAGCATCTTAAGCCACTTCTAAATTCTTCATGTTTTGCTTCTTTTATGTTAAAGAATAAAGGCGTTTATACCAAGTACTAACTTTCAAATCTCGGTAAAATTATACAAACACAGTTTTTCTGCACCTATTTCCATTTTCCTGGCAAAATATAAAGGAAAGAGAGACGGCGCCAGACCTTTGCACTGTACGTCATTAGTAGCAATCGGTGATTCACTTCAGAAATCAAGTTTCCAGGACTCAAAACTGCTACTGCTCTGGTTCCATGTAATATAAAAAGCAGCCACAAGGTGGCACTACAGGATCAGTCCTGCAGCATCAGCTGTATTTGTCAGTCAGGCAGGTCGACTATTAAATGTTTTTAAATGACCAAATATTTGTGTGAGCGACGCTGCTTCAAATATTCAACATGTACTGAACCTGCTGCCTCTGAAGCAAACACATTTTACTCCAGCTGCTCCAAAAAAAGTTTCCAGAAAGTTCACTAAATGAATATTTGCCTGATGAAATGAGAGCTGCCAATTTATCAGTGGTCTGAAGTGGTATGCCCATGAGGATCAGAAGTCTAATATTAATTTCATATGAAAACCAATCAAACCAAACTCAAATTTGTTCTTTAATATCAATATTTAATAGTTCATCATTAAAAGTGTCTTCTAAACAGTCTGTTAGAAACAACATTTCTAGAATATTTTGGGTATAAAGTAGCTGTTCTGTTGTAGTAAGAAGTATGGATACATACAGCATAAACACTACGTACTGTATTTCTCTCCAATACTCTCTGACCTCATCTGTATCTATTATATTTTATTACTTGCAGTAACTGAGGGAGCCAAAGTGGTGTAAACTCGACAGTCTTTACCCAGCAAAAAATAATTCTTCCAGTTTTAAACATGCAGACAAATGTTCCAAAGCACATCTAGTTCCTTCTCACCACTTCTGGCCATATAGACCTCACCAGTGGCTTAGACAGAGGTACTGCAGTTTGTTTTGCCACTTATGTGAAAAGGCCTGTCTATTGCCCAACTCTGCCAACATAAAGTCAAATATTCTGTTAAAACCTGACAGCAGTAATACTACTACTAATAATAAATACTCTCTGTTCATACAGCCCTTATATAAATAAAATATATAGGAAATCCAATAAATAAAAATATTTACACAATAGTCATGAATCAAATTCAAATGATTCCCAGATGGTGGTTGCACTACATAAAACAAAAATCAACAAAAGACGGAGTAATCATGTACAAAATGTGTCAAGAATTTATCACAAAGACGTGAAAAAGCGGTTTGTTTCATCTGCACAGACTAGAAGATCAGGTGGAGAAAAATGCAGTTTTCCATACCACGGGGGGAAAGCAAACAAACATTGGAAGCACTTGTTCACTGCAAAGAACTAAACTGTTATTGTTTAAGGGGGAAAAAGCAGCAGCTCTCAACATTTTAAACCCACAACACCGACCGTTTGGAGGGGAAACGGATGCCTGCCCAGGACACTGCGCTGTTGAAGAGGGGAATCGCATAATTACAGACGTGTCCTTCTTGTGTTTACATACAAGGGAATGAAGACAAGAGAGGGTGCGGTGAAAGAGTTGCCTGTTTTTTTGTTTTCTTGACACAGCAGGAGCCACAGAGCTCTAAATGCCATTCACTCAATGTGACATCATTGTGAATGAATGTAATGTAAATGAGACCTGCTGTGTGTGTTTTATTATTTTCTGTCACTCATGTACTGTTACAGTGGTGGCTACTTATATTAAACATGTCTCTGTTATGGTCATTTCAGGCACATAGCTCCAGCTATGGATAAAGAAGCTCAACCTTCTGTTTGCAAGGGGCAACCAATCAGAACAAAGTTGGGAGGATGGGTTAAAGGGAGAGGAGTTAGAACAGTGGATCAAGGGGCTGCACTAAGGCTCATTATAAGACGTGAGGATTGCTTCAAGCTATGGGTCGCTGTCGGATTAAGTCCAAAATTAAAATATGATACTAGGTCCCCATTAATGACAGATTTTGGCTGACAAAAGACACCAAATATACATTTACTGTACTTTTACCTATTATCAAAATTTCTGACATTTCTCCACATGGTTCAAATGAACAGTTTAAAACCCCTGTCACGAATGCCTCCATTTCTCCAGGGATAAATGATAACTTCTATAAGCCTCGTGGCAAGATTTTAAACCTCGTGTATTTTTTTTATTAAGAAGTTCAGGTGGAATATGAATAGGTCCATATGGAGAGATGAACCAAAAATGAATTATGATGCAAATGTCCAGCTTAACAGAACATTTTGGTGTCTTAAAAAAATTCAAGCTTGTTCCATCAGGCAGCTGTTCCAGTGGAAAACAACTCCAAAACTTCGCAGACAGACAAATATAGGTGAGAGGAGAGAAAGTGTTAAACTTTACTTTGGGTAGAGGCCAAAACAAAATGTTCCTCTCGATCATTTGGAAGAGTTGTTAAAATTTTGGTCTGCTCAAAAGGGCAGAATAGGTCAGATTTTGTTGTTCACCTGTCTTCTTATGACATATTGTTAAGGTGCTGTGACCTCTTTGCCATACTCATATACGGATCCTTCATTTAGGAAAATATTAACCATATAACATTCTTATTGTTTAGTATCTTGATTTCATGTTTAAAATACTGCACTGGAGAATTGCATTTGACCAACAGTGCATCTATGTGTTGCTGTAGCAGCTGTGTTGTTTTGCATGCGTTGGTCTTGACTCAATTTAACCTACAGCAACCTTTTTTCCTGCCTCTTAATTCAGCTGCTACATAATCAAAGGAAAGTTCCCCCCTCAGCTCTTTCAGCACAAATTCAATTCACGAACCTCATGGAACCATTTCTGGACACATGTGTCGTACATTGTACATCTCCTGAGGGTGTTCCAGTTGTACATGTTCACCAACAAGTGCAGTGGAAGCAATGCAAAAACTGTTGAATGTTTAAATCAACAGCCGCAACTCTGCACAGTGTCCTTTGCTGTCCAGGGTTCAGAGATGAAATGAGAAATGTCTAACGCTCCAGGGCTGGAAACGCCTCAGAAAACTTTCCCGCAATGGCGCCTGTAGGTTAGAAATTACATACAGGCATCTGCACACTCTGAATTATGCCTCAGACAGTTCAATAGTAGGAGACCAGATCCACACTGACTCCTTCCCCCAAGGAAGGAAAACATGCAGCAGTGTGTGTTTGTTTTTTTATTTTCCTGTTCTCTTTCCTCCTTTTCTCTCCTTTCTAAAGAGTTTGAGCCTCTGGCTCTTACACTCTTCCTCTCTTCCCTTCTCTTCTTTTCTCTAGCTACGATGGAGGCTGATGGGACCTGACATGATGGTGGCATTGTCCTCACCGTCAGTTAATGTGACCCGCGGGGATGCTGTCCCCGTATGCTTGGCCTGATGGCGAAGAATGCAAAGCGCTTCATCTCGGAAAATTGGTGGGAGAAAAAGGGACAAGGAGAAAACAGCTGTGCATGGAGGTAGACTGAGAGCTGCAAAATAGAAGAGGTGTTTTTACAAGATAAACAGGAGGTAACTTGATGCACACAAAAGCTTGTGGGGCCTGAAAATTACCTGAACTTTTACCTCGACAATCGCACTGAATGGTTGATGATATCTATATAGATCCCAATGAGAAAACTCTTAAACTAAGCCAGCTCCAATTGGATCACCATCAAAAGCACTTATTTTTAATTCATTTGTACACCAGCCCAAGTTGGGTTTTTGTTTAAACATGAACGCCAATGATTAACTTTCTTTAAAGAGCCAACCTCAAGTGGCCATTTGAGGAACTGCGGTTTCCAAAACTTCCTCATGGGCCTCATTATTAATGCTGCGTTCCATTTGCCTCAGATGTCAGAGTTAAGAGAGATCTCCCGAGTAGAGCACGTCCCTGTAGTAAATTAAGAAAAGCTATAAAAGCAAAAGCAAGCAAGAGGCAGAGCCATTCGTGTATCATTAGCATTAGCATTAGCATCATAATATAGATTTTACACATTTACATGCTCTGAAACCATCTTGGATTATGAAGTTGAGGTTGGTGATGCTATTCCATCTTTCTAAGATGGAAATTTAACTTGGGTGGGTGAAAATTTCAATTAGGAATTCCTAAATTCCAACTTTTGACTTCAAATGGAACACACCATTAGCCACAGAGGTTTTATACATTTGTTTAATCCAGATAAATACTGAAGTGTAGATGAAAAACATCAGTTTGATAATTTCCCAGCAAGAAATTGTTGTTATTGCTAAACTAGGCTAACTGTCTGCGTTAGTGTGCTTCATACCTGTGCTTCTCAGGAGAAGAAGCAAGGTGCAGTAGCTAGCACTGTCACCTCAAAGTAAAACAGCTCTTGGGTTTCTTTTGATAACATTAATTTCAAAAAAGTTTTCAAACTATTATCATTTACAATGAGTTCCATTAAAGTGGAGGAGGTAGTGAGTAGGAGAACACAGACAGAGTTCCCATTAAATGACATGAACACGTCCAATGTTCCTGAGGTCTGACATTTGCAGGTGAATGACAAAAAAAGAGTACACAGAAAGCTACATTTGAGTCAAAATAGCTGCATGCTAGCTGTGACTATTTCTTTGGAATGGAATTAGATTATTTTTTTCTAGCTAAATTGGTAGCCACATGTACTGATCACCTGCTTCACCTGTGCTCAGGTAGAAATATTTTGAATAATACAAACTTTCTTTTTGCTTAATTTGACTCGAAGTATCAAGCCCTCTCCTCTAGAGTGGCCGGCAGTAGTATTTTGTTGTTCTTTTGTTCTGCCCATGTTTCTATATTACGGAGCCCCGCAAGGGACATGGGAGAAAAAATTAAGATGAACTTTTGCAAGATCTCGCAAAAGTGTATCTTTTGTGACCCAACCTTCCCCAGAATTCATAGCATGGCCCAGTCAATTCGTTTCCAACAATGGCGGCAGCTAGTTAGTTTTAATATTACTCTTTCTGGGTCACAAAATAAACTTTTAAGATATTTTTAGGCGTGAATGTAGCTGTGTAAACTTCAAATATCTGCCCGGTTTATCAAGAGATCACATATTTGCAAAAGTGCTCCGGCGTTTTCGGAGACGTCTGTTGCCCACCAGCTCGAAGCTAACGGGAGGTTGAGGCCCACTACAGCCGGGGGGAACACCGCACTCCCGGCACATCATGACTCGACCTCCCGGTCGGCTTCGAGCTGGCAGCCTCTGAAGGATGCGGCCAAAACATTTGCGAGATCTCGCAAAACTTTTGCGAGATCTCGCAAATGTTCATCTTTATTTTTTTCTCCCATGTGCCTTGCGGGGCTCCGTACCATATGGCCTGTACAACCGCAATTAAAGCACACTGTAGTGGAAAATCTTTAGTAGTTGGACATTTTTATAGCTTTGCAGCCTATTGAAGCCTGAGACTGGATTTGAGATATCCTTGGGTGAAATCTAAACATTTATTATACGAGACATTTGCTCAAGTGCGGTAATAACCTTTACCAGCACAGTCCATTTTCTACAAAGTGGTGGTTCTGCACTGTTTTCCTCCTGAACCTGACTGTTTCCTCTTATGAAAACACCCCTTTTCATTTTTTCGTGTCTTAAAGAAACTCCTTGTTTAATTAACCACATGTTGAACGAGCTGTCCCAAACTCTGGCCTTTTTGGCTTACGCCAAAGCATTTTCGTTTTTGTGTTAAACATGGTGGAAGGCCACACTCCGAGTTGCTGCCGCTTAGACAGTCACCTCATTTGCACTGTGGGTGGAGTAGCTCTTCTGTCTGGTGTGGTGGTAATAAGTGGGTTGAGATGGATGTTGCCCCTGGACATGTGGCCCCTGGACATGTGGCCCCTGGACATGTGGCCCCTGTCCTGCTCCCCCTCCAGTTCCTCCATACATCCCTCCATAGGGTTGAGTATAGAGATCTGGGACATTCTCTGTGCTCTGCTGCCTCCGGGTTGAGTAGTTGTGTCTCCGGGTGGAGCTGTGCAGAGAGGTGGAAGTATGCGCTGGGGCGGAGGTCTGCCTGTGGACATGCCGGGCGTTTGGCTCCCATGCTTTGAAGGCCGAGTTGGAGAGAAACGGGTGTGTGGTTGTCTTAGAGAGGCGTGATTGTTCGAGGTGGCTGGGGGGGATGGAGATTGAAAGAGGGGAGTGGATGTCGTGGTGTGCTGGCAGGGGTTGGTGATGGATGTATGACTTCTCTTTAGGTGGAATGGGCACAGGCTGGAAGGCAGGCGGGGCTACAGGCTGGTATTGGGAGAAATCCATGAGAGGGAAGCTCTTGTAGTAGCTCCGAGATGCAGTTTCAGCTGCAGAGAGACAGGGTGGAGACAGTCTGTGAGACAAAGACAACCATAACCGTAAAACCTTTAAATACCCGAGAAGTCTCCCCACCCTCCAGGCTTTCAGTTTGATCGGCATCGAGAAAGATCGGAGCTTTAGCCCAACATTAATCTTGTCGAATCTGTTTTTTATTTTCAGACAGATGTGACCATGAACAAAGGTCTAGTTCTATTTTTAAACTTTACACTTCTCCACCACCGTGCTTGACAAGGTTTGGCTGATGTTTGGCTGATATGCTGTGCTAGGTTGTCACTAATCATGGCGCTGTGCATTTTGCCCAAGTATTTCCAGTTTAGTCTTGTCTGTCCAAAGGACACTGTTCCAGACGTCTTGTGGCTTGTTTAGACGCAACTTGGCAAACCTAAGTCGTGCTGCTTTGTTCTGTGTAGAGACAAGAGGCTTAGTTTCTGACCAAATAAGCCATGCTTGTTCAGTCTTTTTCTAATTGGATTACTAAACTGATGCAGGGCATGAGGGATACTATATTAACACACACCTGAATGCTCAAGACCAGCACCTGGCTGCTTCTGACCCTCTTAATTTCTATGGAAGCAGTGAGGTTGTATTAAATTTTTCAAAGGATTGCATAGAGTCCTTTTCACATGACTGTTAGTGTTGTTATTTTCTATAAACTGTTCAGCATAAACTGTTCAGACTACTTCCATCAGGCAGGAGGTTCTGCAGTATCCAGTCCCGAACCAGCAGACTGAGAGACAGCGTTTTCCATCAGGCCATCAGACTGCTGAACACTTCGTAAACACCTCACCGTCACTTACCAGAACTTCAACATTATGCACTCCATACTGTACATAAATGCCACTTGTTTTGCGCAATATCCAACTGCTGACCTCCTTATATCCTATTTTGCATCTGCTCTCCAGTGTACCTGCATATGCAATGTGACAATAAAAGTAGTAAATGACCTTTCCTCAAATCTTAGTCTTTATAGAATTTGTCCCAAATATAAAGTTGCCAAATTTATTTAGAGGAAAAAATAAGCACAAATGGCTATTATTTGCTTTCTGCTCACTTCTTGCTCTGTCACAGTGCAGTGTTACAGTAGAAGTTAAAAAGTTGGGTCGGTAGCGCAAACATGCTATATTTGGCCTCTTTAAACTTGTTTACACTTTGAAATCATTTTCAATTTATCACAGTCTGATGCAGTTCTGAGTCACATGCAGAAGCAGGCTAAGAAATTAACTGTCAATTCACAAACACATGATCTGTCATCATAGGAGGAGGGCTCAAGTCTGAATCACGGTTAATCCATGATGCATTTCTGGCCTCCTGGCTCCAACCTGTCATCAATGTCACTATTGTTTGAATATATCAGAAAGCTTTTATGCAACTCCTGTAGGCAGAATTTAAAAAAAAGATCTCCTCACAAATGGACCGTGTTAGCATGAAAATGCCCTTTTTTATATATGCGTAAAAGCTTTAAAAAGTACATTTAAAGGAGTGGAAAGGAGGGAATCAGAGGAAGGTGAAGAGAGGATCTGAAAAAGATCAAAGGGCAGGCTGGTTGTTTAAGTATTTCCAACTGGCATGCCCTTGAGGTGAGTGAATATTAGTGGTGTTAATCTTTTCTTGAGATACTGGAGGGCAGGAGGAGCAGGAGAAACTGAAGAGTGCAATGGAGATGATGGAGGTAAAGGTATGTGTGTCAGGAAGAGGGGACACAGCGATGGAGGTTTATAAATACCCTCGCCCTGAGTCTGACTCTGCTTGTGCATGTGTGTGCGCGTGTCATCGGCACACACTGCATAAACTAAACACTGAGGTTATCGCCGCTAGCTTCCTGGTTACATGAACAGTAACCTTGTCTCTGAGTGTGCTTTCATTGTTTTTGCTGGAAAATCAGAGTACACCGACAAAGGTTGTTTCCGCTCTTTTCAAAAGCAAATGGATTTAATCTCAACAATGTCATTTTATTTTATTATTTAATAGAAAAGCATAAAAAAACTTTGAGAACAAGTGAACTCCTATCATGATTCAGTCTGATATTTTGTTGAGCAAATGGTAACAGTTCCCTGCTTCTGTAATGGAAAACAAGCACAAGTAAAAATGTAATTACACTATGCCTTTAATCTTAACTGCGAATGTTAGCATATCCTGGCAACTAGCTTCAGAGCCAGCTGAGGCATAAGGAGACTAAGGTGCCGCTTGGGGCCCTTATACCAGGAGGGGCCTCCAAGAGCACACGAGACAGGTGACAAATACATGTTTTGTGCTTGTGATATATCAGTAGTTATCATAGAAGAGAGAGCAAGTTATTTAGATAAATGCGTTAACAGCCACTATAAAGGTTGTGCTACATGCATAAGTAACAAATGAACAAGCATGTACAACAAGCATATAACGGCCCTAAAATAAATACAGCCCTGTCCCAACTTCTTTGAGAACTGTTGCTGTCATTAAATTCTAAAATGTGCTAATATTTATCTTAAAATGACATATTTTCTCAGTTTAAAAATTGTAATGTTTGATGTCTTCTACTATGAATAAATGTGGTCTCTGTTTTGCCTTCAGAACAGCCTGAATTCTTTATGTCATAGATTCAACAAGGTGCTGAAAACATTGCTCAGAGGTTTTGGTTTGGATGGATCCATCCTTTCATGTTGTTTCTAAAAAATTCTGACAGTACCATTCAAATGTTGCTGCAGAACGCAATTGCTTTGAAGATGAGGAGCAGGTCTTCAACCATCTGCGGTCTTCAAAGTGACTTTGGTGTCAAAATGGTGATAGAAAAGCAATAAGTCAGAGTCAGTCTGCTATGAGTTTCTGATTAAATGGGGTCAAGTGGGCGATTATGTCCAATTTATTTTTCTGAAAATGGTGCGATTAACTGTGATTAACTTAAATCAGAGAAAAATCACATTCAGTTCCTTGCATTCAGAGTCCAGCAATAACTTCACAGATCTGAGGTTCCAACACAGCTGGTGTCGTAGTTGCTGCGGCACAGCAATTTAACTGCAGATGACATAGGAACTCAGCAACCTTGCTTTTATGTAGGAATAGAACAATAATATAACCAGATGGCAGCTAGAATTCAGCTGCAGTTTTGTAATAAGCAGTGTTGGGACTAA